ATATATATATATATATATATCCATTTATTCGCTTATTTATACATTCAATCACATATGAATTGAAAATATCTGTTAGGTTCGAAAATTATATAACAAGAATATTTATGATAAGCGATATGCACACCATTAAAAATGAAATCAAAATTTCGATCGAATGGAGCACGGAAACAAATAAAAAGCTACTATCGACAACCTGAGTATCTTTAATTTCGAATGAATCAATCTAATTTGTTTTGGATGAATGAAGGCATTAAAAAAGCACGATTTCGTAACTAAAAAGTGAACTTTCGTTGCTTTTTATCGACTCATCATTGAGATCTTATTAAACACATCAGCTAAGTCGCCATCATTTTTGAATTTGTTGACAGAACCAAAAAAAGAATTCGAAATGGAAGAATAACTGCCTCATGAGTACGTTTATAACAATATTTATAAGTCGGCCATAGAAACAGCATGCATGATGATCTACGAATGATCCATTTATAAGTCGTCATAGTAAGCGAGTACGAGTGGTTCAAAGAGACAGAACTAACCATCTCAAAGAATCGATGTATACGAGATCATGAAATTGTGATATGCTCTAATGAAATAAAATTTAATTGAACACTGAAATGGTACGAGTTGGACGAACACCTCGCAGATGGATATGTGACGTCAACGAGAAAAGTGACGTCAAGTTACAACATAATGAAAATGAAATCAACCATGATCAAAACAACGGTCATAAGACTGCGGTTTTAAAAACGTCCTTGTGATCATCTTCATTACTGGGTGATGTTTAATCGCTGAACGAAAGTGCTTTTTTAAAACATCGCCTCATCCTTCCACAAGCGATCACACAGCACGCCACATGATTTTCATGCTAATTCCTCTCTCTTTCTTGCCGAAGAAGGCAAATTCTGATGAACAAGCATTCACAAAATTATTTCGAACTATTGTGAAGCTTCAAAAAAACCTTGCTCCTGAGAAGCCTCCTAAAAATGGTCAGCATTCGAATAGCATTCAATACTGTGAAAATTCCAAGAGCCTAAGGCCAAGCATGAGACTAAGCTTGAGGCTCAGCAAGGAGCTGAGCTGAAATCAATCGAAACCTTTGACTTTCTAAATATTTCCCGCTCTACCTTTAAGCCACGAACCAAATGTGCTGATAAAGCGGTGCTTACGTCAAACATTAATCCAGCAAGCGATTAGAATCTGAAACCGTTCAGAATTCGGAGCATTCGTCTCGTAGGCGATTGAGCGGTTAATTGTTGATTGACCTCTAATCGGTAGGCTTAAGTTTAGTTAGGTTTGATCTCAT